TGGACGTCTTCAGAGGGCGCGAAGGCAGCCAAAGAGCAAGACCTGCTTGAAGACACAAGATCTGGTGATCAGCATGGTGCCTCTGTGATTACAGCCCCTGTCAAGATCACGCTCACTGAGATAGAAAGCGCAGGGGAAGCTGCCAGCAAAGAGTCGAGCCCAACTCAGCCGGAGACCGGCCTGAAGCCGAGCCATGAGGTGGTACCAACAGTGACGGTGTCAGAGCCAGAAGATGACAGCCCGGGGTCTGTCACACCACCATCCTCTGGCACAGGTAATGCCAGCACGTAGCATCATTTTTTTTGCTATTCAGCGAGTGGTTGCAATTATAGCCCTGCATGTTGCAGAATTACTATAGGTTTGTGGGGTGGGTCTAAGGGGGTGTGAGCGGATATTAATGGGTCTCCATGGCTGGAGGTGTTTCTGCTCTGCTCAGGCACTACTTTGCATTGCTGAACTGAACGGGGACGTGAGCCGTGCTGCCTATCACTCACACACTGCTCGGGGGAGGCTGCCCTTCCTGTATGAAAAGAGGGGAAGACAAGACTGGGGATCCACAGAAATAAGTTGCTGAGAGCCGCTCAGGAGCAAGACTGGGGTCAGATCCAGGCTTGCTGAGCCTGGTCCCCATGGGGATTTCTCCTCAAGGGGAAGTTGTGAGCTGGCAGGTGTCATTGGGGGTATCATCAGCCAGGCGACGGTTTGGGCTGGAACCTCGTGATTTTGGGGTCTCTTGGTCACCCTGGCTGGCCACGTTCCCCAGAGAAAATGAAGTGTGTTGGGACCAGGGTGCTGCAAATATCTGGGTTCATTTTTCTAAATTTTAATGGCTGTTTTAACACCTTTTTGCTCTTGCAGAGAATAAGTTTAAATTGTTAAAAATAAGTGCTATTTTCAAGTGAAAGTGCTGCTTTTAGAAAGTGCTGAGGAGGGAAATGCTGTCACCTCATTTACAAAGGGGACTGGAGGGACAAAGGGCCAGTCTCTTTTAAAGGCTCCTGATTTCTATTGGGGGGGGCACCGAAATCCCATGTTTATTCATCTTCTTATTGTCTGATTACTGCAGTAGTGCGTAATATCTAATTCCTCATTTTCCCTATTACACACTGCTAAAATATGAAAGTAGTATAGTGTTTTAAAAAAGAATAAAGTTCTCTGACAGGAAACAGAATTTTCACACTTGAAATTAAATTTCAACATCCTGGATCAAAACCCTTTGACAATGAACATTTGATGTTTGACAATGAACATTCCCAAGCTGAAATTTCCATTGCTTTGATGGCATCTAGAAGCATTTAAAAATCAACTGGGATTTCCATAAAATGGCAGTCAGCGATTTCCACCCACACTAATACCTACCCGTGGAGAAATACCTATTTCCTATCCAAAACTGAGTGTGCATTTGTACACTTTCACACACAAAAAAAGAGAAAGAGTCCACTGCAGCTGTGAGTTTACCCTGCCTGCATCAGTCAGAAACTTTAGTTTCTTATTTATTTATTTATTTATT